CCCCCAATATTTCAGCTCTCCATCCTGGTTGGACCCCAAAGAGCAAAATTTTTCCCTAAAACTTCCACGTGTCCATATGTGGGGGAAAAAATAGCTCGTTCTCGCAAACAGTAATTTGGAAAATTGTGAGAGTAAACATAGGCTGGTAACTCATGCTTTCTGGTGAAAATTTCCAGAAACTTCTGAGCTCATTTATGATTTTTTTTTTTGAAAAGAGCATCAAATGCAAAATTTTCCAGCAGAAAAGGTAAAATGTTTAAATTTATTCTTGTCCGAAACTGAATTATTGCTACCTGCTCAACAATATTATCAAGTGTTTGCATGGCGGCCAATTCAAGTTCCTCGCTACTTTCACTTAGTGCCGCATCCTCCTTCGAACTAAACGACCCCACCGGTTCGGTGGTGTCTTCATTCGTCAAGTGAGTTTCCACGTGACTAGTTTCCGGATTTTCCGACGACACCGAAACAATCGACTGTCGTTCTGCTGTCGCCATTCAGTGCACACGCTGATTTAAGAATAGCAGTGAAGATGCCAAGACTACCCAGAAAGTCATCACAGTAACTGATTCGAGAGCCAAAAAGAAATTTTCGAACTACCCCCGAAAAGATGTTGCAGTTCCAGTTGGAAATGTTCCGACCCCAGAAAGAAATGTCGAGGAACCGCTAAGCTCGTGGCAGATAATCCTGCTGGATTCAATTATGCCAACAGCAACAACTTTGGATTTATTGAATCTGAAGACCGAACAGTCTCAGCAAAGCAGTACGACGGAATAACTTATATCTCATTAGAAATCAAAAAAAAGGTTATCCAGAAATTAACTGGGCGATTTTCCGGAATTTTTCTCCAAGGCAAAACAAAAGAGCAGTTCTGTGAGGAATTTGACAGATACTTGTGTTGGCAGGACACATACCGAAGACTTGGGAAGAAGAGGAGCCGTTTATTTGCTATGCATGAGAATTATTTGTGGAACAAATTCCACGTTCCGATGAGCTATACATCCCTTTATCCTAAGCTTCTCTCTCAAGCTACAAAACTTTGGTTCATTTTGAGCCAATTGGCATGTCTGCAAGTGTTTAGCTCTCTTTGCAAAACTTCTATTCTCAGCCTCGATTTTAGTCCGAATTTTTAATTTCAAGCCCTAAACTTAATTTAAATTTCTCTTTTAAGCAAAATCATCAACAGCTAACGATCTGCAAGTTTTAACAGCAGCCATTCTATGACGCCATTATGGATGCATGCCTTTGGAGAGTACCTTCCCCTTTTTCAACTAAAACGACATAATATCCTCAGAACACGACACTTCCTCCTTCCGCCCACCTCAACAGAGCTTAACCAATGTAGCTTGTTCTCCTTTCATGCAGCACTGAAAAGCGCGTCTGTGTATTTATTTATGATTGTCTTTGCATCATTTCGACTGAATTTACGCTGCACAATTCTCCGTCAACTCACGCCGTCGTATGGTTTTTTTTCTCCCATAAACTATTTTAGTTTTCATAAGGAATTGTATGCAATTATTTCTATTGGCAGCAGTAACCACCGGTCGCCAGTGCTGAGCTGGGTACGCCAATAACAAGATTTTTCCCGAGAAAATGACGTTAGTGGAAAATGATTCCGGCTGAAGTTCTCTCCAGCAACTTGGCAATTGATATTTAGTAACTGGAGCATTCATTCCTTAACACAATTTCTAGATCTAGCCTGGTGGATTAAAGTTGGTTTCCGACGCTGACTGCCTGAACAGTCTCGTTGTTTTCGGGTTACTCAGCGGAGAAAAAAAAAACTGATACCTTTGTACTAAATGATATCAGTTGAGATCAAACACATAAGAAAATTAGTCCAAGCAAAAAAAAAAAAAAAAAAAACGAAAA